TTTAATTTAAAGTCTAGTTTGTCTGATGTAAGTATGGCTACTCTAGCTTTCTTTTGACTTCCAGTAGCACAATATATGGTTCTCCATCCCCTCACTCTCAATCTGAAGGTGTCCTCAGGTCTAAAATGGGTCTCTTGTAGACAGCAAATAGATGGGTCTTGTTTTTTGTTTTTTTTTATTCATTCTGACACCCTATGTCTTTTGGTTGGAGCCTTTAATCCATTTACATTCAGTGCTATTATTGAAAGATAATGGGTTTAGAGTCATTGTGTTATCTGTAGGTTTCATGCTTATAGTCATGTCTCTGGCCCTTTGTGGTCTTTGCAACACTCACAGAGTCCCCCCTTAGGATCTATTGTAGGGGTAGTTTAGTGGTGATAAATTCCTTCAGTTTTTGTCTGGGAAATCTTTATCTCTGCTTCTATTCTGAATGACCGTCTTACTGAATAAAGGATTCTTGGCTGCATATTTTTCCTGTTCATCACATTGAAAATTTCCTGCCACTCCTTTCTGGCCTGTCAAGTTTCAGTAGATAGGTGTGCTACTCTTCTTATGTGTCTATTCTTGTAGGTTAAGGCCCATTTGTCCCTAGCTGATTTCAGAATTCTCTCTTTATCTTTGTACTTTGCCAGTTTCACTATGATATGCCATGCAGAAGATTGTCTCAAGTTACATCTGAAGTGAGTTCTCTGTGCCTCCTGGATTTCAATGTATGTTTCCTTGCCCAGATTGCAGAAGTTCTCAACTATGATTTATTCAAGTACACCTTCAGCCCCCTTTGCTCTCTCTCTTCTTGTTCTGGAACTCCTATGATGCAGATATTATTCCATTTCATTGAATCATTTAGTTCTCTAACTCTCCCCTCATGGTCCAGAATTTTTTTTTTATCTCTCGTTTTCTCAGCTTCATCTTTTTCCATAATTTTATCTTCTATTTCACTGATTCTCCTGTCTGCCTCTTTAATCCTCACTATCACCGCCTTTGGTTTGTTTTGCATCTCATTTACGGCCTTTTTTAATCGTCATGACTATTTTTTAGTTCCTTGATCTCTGCAGCAATAGATTCTCTGCTGTCTTCTATGCTTTTTCAATCCCAGCGATTAATCTTATGATTATTATTCTAAATTCATTTTGAGTTATATTGTTTATATCTGTTTTGATCAATTCTTTAGCTGTCATTTCTTTGTGGAATTTCTTTTGAGGAGAATTGTTCCATTTCATCATTTTGGCTAGTTTTCTGTCCCTATGTGTTCTAAAAGCTTTTTATGTGCCCTGCACCTGTGAGCACTACTATATTCAAGAGGGGTCATACACTGTCCAGGACCTGGCCCTTCAAGAGGTGTTTTTTGGAGTGTGTTACTTGTTCTCTGTTGTTGTGACTTTGGTTACTTTTATCTCCCTACTCATGGTGATGTTTTCGACCCTCAACCAGGTGTGCTTCGATTTGTTCTTTGAAGTAGCCCTGGAAAGGAAGACAAACAAATAAGCAAAAAACAAAAACGAAACAAACAAAAACACATTAACCATCAAAAAGCCCAAAAACAAAAACCAGAAACACCATTTACATGTTAACAACAGAGTGGAGGCAGTGCTGATGGAAGAGGCCTTGTTCCATACAAAATGGAGAGAAACGACAGGAGTGGGGAAAAAGAAAAGAAAATTGACCAGACAGAGAAACTATATGGCTTAATCCAGAGAGAGAGAAAGGAAAATAAAGAAGGAGGTGTATAGCATGTATAAAAGAACAGATTAAATATTCCTGCTTAAACAAACCAACAACCAGAATAACTAGACTAGAGGAGGGAAGAGATAAGAAGCAAAAAAGGAAGGAAGAATATATATATATATATATATATATATATATATATATA